TATTCTCTCCCCCATAGACTTCAATGCCGTAAACATATTTCATCCAGTTTCTCAACATTTTTATCACACTCAGCACTACATTTCTTTTTCTTTCCTTTTACAGTTCCTATACTCACTGATTCTGTTCTTCCAATGGACAGTTTCTGCACTCCCATTTAGTTATCCACTCTTCAGAAAATAGAACTAGTCAATTCTCTAAGCCTAGTATTGTCCCACTATGCAAATATGAATAATGAGATTGGATTAATTACCCAGCCACTTAGATAATCTATCTGTGAATAACACTCTAGTTGCACCACAAAGTTTTGTTCTTTTTCTCTGCCACTTTTGACAACCATTTATGTGTTATTTTCCAGCTTGCCTAATCAAACAGTTATGTTCATGATATTTTTCCAGATATGTTATACAGATAAAAATGAGTTGAATATAATCCATTTCCTTAAATATCTGACTGGAAGACAACTAATACGAGTAAAGTATATGTATAGAAGGAAGCTCTGGTGGTGTAGTTGTAAGAATCAGTGCTGCCATCCCAAAGGCACGTGGTTCAAATACACCAGCTGCTCCACAGGAGAGGGATGAGCAGTGCCCTCCTGTGCTATTTACTGGCTCTAAAAACCCTTGAGGGTCAACTATGAGGTGGTTCCAGCTCAGAGGCACACAACAAGACAACACGTATAGGATCATTTTGTTTAACTGTAAGTTACCTGCTAATTAATTCATTGTGATAGGTTCTATTATTCCCATCACGCCTTTATTAAAGTTGAAGACAATGAAATTCTGAGACTCATGATTCAAAGCCATACAGATTGCCATTGACTCAAGCTGTGTACGTACATTTGTTAATTCTACAACTTACCACTTCCTCCAATTCTTCATTGTTTTTCTGTGATTTTTTAAAAATTTTATTTTATACTGGTTTAGGAAAAGATATCTTCTCCCCATTATCATTATCAACATTAAAGTTATTTCTGTATCTAGGTAGCCAGGGACACCTCAGCAAGCCTGAATCAGCCCTTACCTGGGGATCAGATACGGCTGAGGTGGGACCCACCCAGAAGCAGCCTCCACAGACTGGTCATAGTGGTCCGCCAGGACATGAGCCCAGGAAACCAGGGGTCCAGGCAGCTCCTCCAAGTCAAGTGGGGACTAAAGGGATGTTGAGCTGGTTGACTTCAATGCAGGGAGGTCTACACATGGTGGGCTCTGTCCTGGGGGACCAGCATGGCCAGTCTGTGGGGACTGCTCCTGTGTGGGTCCCACCTCAGCCATATCTGATCCCTAGGTAAGGGCTGATTAATGCTTGCTCTGCTGTCCCCGGCTACCTAGTTCATAAAGTTCATATACATTGTTTTTCACACTAGACCGTTCCCCTTTCCTTTACCAATATTTCCCTCCACCCATCAAATTGTGCAACCCTATGTTTAAGCTCCTCCCTCCTCTCCCTGGATCCTCATACACGCTCTACAATAATGATCCCGTGCAGTATTTATGAAACTGAGTTAGTTCACTCAGCATAATGCTCTCCAGTCCCTCCCATGTTAGGTAGTAATTTATAAAAATCATTGCTCCTACAAGCTGCATAGTATTCCATTGTGTGAATGTACCATAATTTCTTAATCAGTTCCATTGTGGTTAGGCATTTGGGCTGTTTCCATGTTATTGCTATGGTGAATAATGCTGCTATGAACATAGGTGTACAAATCTCTGTGCCTCAGTTATAATTTTTTCAGGATATATTCCAAGCAGTGGAATAGCTGGGTCATATGGAATTTCTATGTGCAGCATTTTGAGAAAACACTTAACTGCCTTCCAGAGTAGTTGTACCATTTTACAATCCCACCAACAATGTATTCTTCATTTTAAGAGAACATTGATATAGCCTAGTGGATAGGGAGTTGTGTTGCCAACTGATGGGTAGATTGTTCAAATTCACCACCTTCACAAGGGAGAAAGATGGGTAGTCTACTTTCATGTGATTTATAGCCTCTGAAAACCCACTGGAGGATCACCTTTGAGTCAGTTTTGACTCTACAGTAATGATTTTATTCTTAGTTTTAATTATTGTACTTTAAACAGTATTACCTTTTGCCAGATGACTGTGCCTATTCAGTTATTTAAAATATTAATATGATTGTGTGATTTAACATCTGATTCACTTGATTTCCAGACTCTGGAGACATAAATACAGAAGGAGTTCCAATTAGTTGCAAAGTCATTCAGTGTTCCTAAATGTTACTGACTGTATTTTTATTGCTTGGACTATCAGGCAGCAGATATGTTTTAAAGTATATTTAACATATTACTTTTGGTTTATATTTTATGGTAATTTTATATTATATTGTCTATACTTTAATATTGGATTTTTTTCTTGCATACTTGGTATTTTTGTCACTTGCACAATCATTTAAGAGAATGTGTTAAGTTTTTAAGATGCATTATTTTATTTTCTTTTATTATTATTTTTGTGTGTGTGTACCATCAAATCAGATCTGACTGGTACAGGAGGAGATTGCCCCTCCTTCCCCGGCAGAGCATCTGGTGATTTCGAACCGTGCACCTCTGGGATTGTAGTTGCAGCTTCTTGCCACTAGGCCACCAGAGCTCCCCTTAAGATGCATTTTTAAGTTACTCAAGATGCATGTAATACTAAATATTATAGTTAAGCATAATTTAAGTAAGGTCTGTGATGCTCAGATCAACATGTTGTGAACATTTATAGATTTTCTTCATTACACAGCAAGTGCATTTTTATCAAAATTATTTTTGAAATGTGCAAATATCAAAAGAAAACTTGAAAATTTTCCTTTTGATAAAACATCCAGAGTAAATGATTGTCACAATTTTTGTTTTGAGCACCATTGTGTTCTCCAGCATTTCAGACAGTACCTGGCACATAGCAGGTCCTAATAAATACTGAAAATGAAAAGTGAGTAGATTAGTGAAGGATTAACATTTGTACACCTGTATGAATTTTTTTTCAATTTTTAAGATAAACATTTACTTTTCTATCTACCTCTCATTGCCTTTGTTTTGGAACTGAGTCATAGCTTACTGTCCATGGGGTTTCCGAGGCCTTAAATCACATGGAATGAGATTTTCCTGTCTTTCCCCCCAAGGATCCACTATTGAATTAAAAGACTCAGAGAAGCTTGACCTTAACATTGGCAGCACAGCTCTCTAAGGATGATGCCAACAGAGTGCCCTCCTAGGATTGTACTACACATAAGATTTTATACTTACTTTTTATCTACTTAGTAAAATGTCCCTAGCTATTACATGCAGTATTCTTGTACATTATTATTTAAATAGTTGCACCATATTGAAGTCTATGAAAAGAGATTAGGTTGAAATATTTGAATTAGCATCTTACACCTGTCACTACTGTTGTCCTGCTTCAGAACCCCATTCTATCCCTGAAAGTTCAAAATGTTTTACAACTGGAGGCAATATATTCCAAGTCTTCTATCCTCTTTTCCCAGTCCTTGGCCTCATCCCAAATTCTTACTGAGGAAACACTCACCATTTCCCCATCAACACGAAACTCCTCCAATATAAGGGTTACACAGTACTCTAAGCACATCTAGCCTTCAAATTCAACAAAATTTCACTTCTTGATTCCTTTTCCTACCTTGAATTAACATAAATGACTCAGAATTCATGTCTAGTAGATATTGGGAGAAATTAAAACTTCAGGTTCAGATGACTTTGGAAAGAAAGATTGATACATGTTGATTTGAGCAAGCAGTTAACACATTAGGTAAGAGTAATTGCACTGGTCTCCTATCAGTGGGAATTAACACCCTGCAACACAAAATGCTTGTCCTCTCTTCAGGAAACGGTGGCTTTTAATTCAGCTTTCCTGAGGCCCCGTGTGATCGGAGAATGGATTGGTCGAGAAGAAAACGATGCTGACCCACTTGCAGCTGAAATGCTGCAGCCCCCAATTCCAAGAAGTAAAATTGAGTTTTGGGAGACAGAAGATGGCGGCTCCAGCCCTGCCAGAAGGTGAGAGGAGATGCCTTCCAAGATTCTATTTCATATCAGGCACTATAAAGTAGAGACAGACCAAGCCTATGATTTTAATAAAGTAACTTGGTAATTTTATCTTAGAACCGTATTGGACTTAACATCATATAAAAATTACTGTATTTTATGGCAGGTTTTTCAATTTTAGTTTTGATTTTGTTTCCTTCACATTTATATAAATGAAGGGAAAATATGAAGGAGCTAAATTGTTAGTCACGAATTTGTATAATATTTGGCAAGGAGTGAGTGGGTGTTTAATTTGAAAGAAGGAATTTTCTTTTTTCCAGCAGATATAGTCAGCCAGCAGGAAGAAGAGTGTGGAATGTAGAATAGAATTTACAAGGCAGAGCTAATGAATGGGAAATGTAGACAGAAAGAAATACTGGCTCAGAACTATTTGTATTTGAAGTTGCAATTACAATTGGATATAATTACTAACATTTTCTTGATTTAATATTTGAAAATATTATCTGATTATGTGAAAGTCAGTTTTCCCTCACTTTTGCCTGATCTGTTGAGCTCGATGTGGTGAAAATGGTGTGCAATATTTGCTTTAATCTTAGTTGTCAATGTATTCTTTGTTGTTAGGTGCCATCAAGCCAAGCACCACTCATAGCAACCCTGTAAATATTGGCCAGATCTAACATTTGCCCTGTCCTCTACCACTCTCACAGTCTATCACACTCCAGCCCATTGCTGCAGTCACTGTCAGTCCACTTGGGTTAGGGCTAGCTTTACTTCTGCTGTCCTCCTAACTTTGCAAGCTTGATGTCTTTCTCCAATGATCACTTCCTTCTGAGATTATGCCCAGAGTATCCTTGCATCCAGCTGGCTGGCTTCCAGGTGGGTCAGTGGTCTGGAGCAGCCTGATTCTACAGAGTTTTGATGTTGGTCTCTCTGCATTTGCTGTACAGGTGTAACTCTTGGTTACTGTGATGCTAAACACTTGACACTAATGTGTCTAATGCGATAATGGCTAGCCATGGTGGACAGTGTTTGGTGGAACTCCCTGATTAAAACAAGCTTGGAAGCAGGAGAGGAATCCACTTCTGTAATAGCTTGCCTCTGGAAACTCTATGAACTTGGAGAAACGATGTAAATTATGCAAGTGCTCAGGTCTTTCGTTCATATGGTCTGCGACTCGACGGCACTTAACAACAACAGCAACAACAACAATAACGTCCTTACATCCAAAGAGCAATCTGGCTTTACCTTCTCCAAAATATATCTGTTCTTTTGTCAGTCCATGGGATAGTCAATACTCTCCTCCAAAATCATAGTTCAAAGGTATACATTTTTCTTCTATCATCTCTAGTCATTGTCTGACTCTCAGATACATAGCAAGTGATTGAAAAGACCATGATCAAGAATGGTCACGATCAAGTGGTCAAGATTTGTTTTACCAAGCCAGAGGTATGCTGGTCAAATACACCAGCTACTCTACAGGACTAAGATGGACAGTCTCCTCCTGTCTGATTTACTGCTTCTGAAAACCCACTGAGTGATCAGCTGTGAGTTGGCTCTCACTCGATAGTACTCAACAAGAACAGTACCAACAACAGTGGGTAAAACACAAAGCAAAAATGAAAATTTCTATAACAAAGTTATGGAGAAGAAACATGGGATATGTAGCATATATAAGATTGAGACAACTGATTGAAATACAATTTGAAATGTAAGAAGAGCTAGGCAGGAGAAAAGAGCCCCCCCCCCTTTTATTGTAACTGTTTCTACCTGACTACAACTGAATAGTTTTCCTTTTGCACAGTGTAGCAGTAGAAACTTGATACTCCCTATGTTAAATTTCATAACCTGCAACCAATAACTATTCTTTCTCAAGGAAAAAAATGTATTTTCTACAATGTAATAGCTTTTAGGAGCTCTTTGCTTTGACTTATCACTTGCCTGGAAGGAAGAAAATTCAGAATACACATTAATGTGCTTCAGGCATAGAGAATATTGATTCTATTTCCATGAGAAATAACTTTTAAATTATTTAAATAGTTGAAGTGTCCTGTATAAGGAGAAGAAAAGCACTTTTAAAAACCCATTTACCTTCTTTTATGAAATGCCAGATCCATTTCACCTGTCAACGAGGGTAATTTCATTTTTAATACCAGACTTAGGAAACCCACTAAACCTTTAACTTTTTTCACTGGTAGGTAGTTCTTTGACTCTTAAATATAAAACACAGAATGTCAACTTTCATTGTGCTTTCATTTAGTCACAATAATAATCAGAGCTATTTATTGAAAATGCTCCTGTGTCAGTTTTCTTCTTAGCTGCAATGAGTCCTTATTCCTTTTTGATTGTCCAATAGAAAGGACTATATTCTACAGTCCTAATTGAGACCTTTATCCAGAATACTCAGCTCGTGAAAATGCCCCAGTATTTGTTTTGAAAAGTTATTTTCTGTTTCTGTTTCCTCTATATTTTAAACCATGGTATTATGCTATGGAATGAAGAAAATGAAGAAGTCTTGCCTGCATGCCTCATTGTAATGGAAATATGCATGAATATCTGAGTTAAATTTAAAGACTAGAATAATAGCAATAAGCTCTGTATTTCTACCATTTTCGTTCTAATTCCTGTGATAGAACTAGATTTCTTGCCCCTGAAATTTATGCCCACAACTCACAAATAATTAGTTATCACTTGAATGGATCCTTATCTTGAAAAAGGAAGGAATGAGGAGAAAATAAATTAATACTGAAAGAGTCATATTAGCTTTTTCTTTCATATCTTATTTTTAAACTCTAAATTTTAAATATTAATATGACAGGAGTGAATTATTTCTAGTCTTTTAACAAAAATATTTTATTCTTTTAAATAAACTGTACACTGCTAATTAGGTCTTTTTGAAATAATTTTTATGTATATGGTTCATTTGACATTGGTTCTATTTTCCATATTGTCTACATTCTCTTTATTACCACTGAGCTTGTTCTTCCATTTAATCCCTCTTCTCTACTATTTCTGACATTCTCATCTTTGCTTTAAAGCTTACAGTTTTTATTTTACTGGGGAGTTCCTACTAGTAATCCAGAAGCATGACATCCATTTCTCCCAGGGAGAAAGATGGACAGTCTCTTCCAATGTGATTTACAGCTTTGGAAGCCCACAGGAGAGTCAGTTATGAGTTGGTTCTGACTTGATGCCTGTGTTCTTGGTGTTGAATTGCAAATGAGCCATAGCTGAGCCACCAGCAGGCTTTTAGAGGCAATAAATCTCATGGGAGAATATTGCCCATATTTCTTCATTGGAGTTGCCAGTGGATTCAAATTGTGTGCCTTCAGGTTCACAGTGCAACTCCTTATCCCTGCACCACCAGAGCCTCTGAAAATCTGCTGGAGGATCAGCTCTGAGGCTGCTCTGACCCTTATGATACATAGAAAGAACAGCAAAGCAATTATCATACCAATACATATTAGTATTATGAAGTCCATGTTAAAAATTCTCTAATTTCCTAGTAAGGTCTTAAATAGATTTTGTATATTTGGTATTTTTCCATCTTAATTTAGGGTCCAATATAGGACCATAACTGGGATTTAGTTGTTACAATCCTTTAGTCTTCTGTTATTGCAAATAGTCTTTTGATTTATTTCAATACATTGACTTTTAAAAGATAATAGCATTTTACCAGTACCATGCTGTTTGGGTTACCACTGTTGTATATAGTAGTAGGCTTTGAGGTCAGGGAGTGCTATGCCTCCAACTTCATTTTTGTTTCTCAGAAGTGTTTTGCTTATTCAGGGTCTCTTGGCTCTCCAAATAAATTTGATAATTTCTTTTTCAGTCTAGCATGGTACTGGTACAAGGACAGGCATATCAACGGATGGAACATAATTGAGAACTCAGAAAAAGACCCAGCTATCTATGGTCAATTAATATTCAACAAGGGAATTAAAGCTGTCAAATGGGGAAAAGATAACCTCTTCAACAAATGGTTCTGACAAAACTGGACTTCCTCCTGCAGAAAGTTGCAACAGGATCCACATCTCACACCATACACAAAAATCAATTCAAGGTGGATCAGAGATCTGGGAGTAAAGCCCAAAATCATAATGTTCTTAAGAGACAAACTTGGATCAAGCTTAGAAGTGCTAGTTCAAGGTATAAAGAGACTACCAAATACAACTAGAAATGTACAATCTAAAGAGGAGAAAATTGATGCCTGGGACTTTCTAAAAATTAAATCTTTAAGCACATAAAGAACTTTTTCCAACAAGGTGAAAATAAAACCTACAGACTGGGAACAAACATTTGGTAATTTCATCTCAGACAAGAGTCTTATAAAAAAAGTTTACAGAATACCCCTGGTCCTCCACAAGAAAAGATAACACAATTACAAAATGGACAAAAGACATGGAAAGAATTTTCAGAGGAAGATATTCGAATGGCAAACAGACACATGAAGATATGCTCCAAATCAGTGGCAAAAAAGAGAAATGCAATTAAAAACCACAATGAGGTACCATCTCACTCCAGTAAAACTGGTAAAGTTTAAGAGGGCAGCAAGTAATAGATGTTGGAGACGATGTGGCGAGAAAGGAACTCTTATACATTGTTGGTGGGATTGTAAAATGGTACAACCATTCTGGAAGGCGGTTTGGTGCTTCCTCAAAAAGCTGAACATAGAAATTCCATATGACCCAGCTATTCCACTACTTGGAATATACCCTGAGAATATGATAAATGGCACAAACTGGGATATATACACCGGTGTTCATAGCAGCTTTATTCACTATCACAAGAATATGGTAACAGCCCAGATGTCCAACCATAAACGAATGGATTGATAAATTATGGTACATTCACACTGTGGAATATTATGCAGCATGCAGGAGCAATAACTTTGTAAATTATTACCTAATCTGGGAGGGACTGGAGAGTATTATGCTGAGTGAACTAACTCAACATTGGGAAAAAATATTCCCTTAAAGTTGTAACTAAAAGCAAGCTGTGATGACTGTGTTACT